GACCCCCTTACCCTGAACAAGGTAAGCTACAACATAGACTTTCGGCGAGGAGGTCAGGTCGGAAGAGACACCGAAATGATTACCAAAGGATATAAGCAAACGTTGAAGACAAGAAGAAGGTTAAGTTTTTCTATCTCTAATCTCTCCCTCTACACTCTACTTCTCTTCCTGACTTGCTCGTCGGAGGGTTCGCTAGGGGATTACCCAGTTCCCCGCTGAACTTGTTTGCAGGATATTCGGTGGGCTTGATCATTTGGATGTGGGCCTAAGGAGCTTGGACCAGTCGGATCCATTCACTGGAACAAATAGTATCATCAATTGGCACCGTCTGTGGAAAACTGGTTCTTATCTGGACGTCAGTTGTGCTCATTGTCGTCGGAGACCCTGTCCTAACAATCTTTTCCTCCTACCCATCCAAGTGTATGGTCACGACTAGATCCATGGCTTCTCACAATAATGCTGTCGACCACCAGACCGACCCTCCAAATCCGAACAACCCACCGCAGTATTTTATCAAGCTCACCAACAGCATTAACCGCATGGCCGAGCAAAACCAGGCCCTGATAAATGTTTTACTCCAAAGAAACCTTCCGATGCCTCCTCTACCACCTCTAGATATTCCACCCAACCAAGAAAGAGCCCCGAGCCATACTGTTCCGCAACCCTATCCACCCAACTTGAAAGGTTTGCAACCTTCTCCCCCACATATAAATCTACTACCTCCCCCCCTACACCCTTCGGTCGTGGCACCAGCCTCTGAAAGGGAAGCCAGCAGCGTCCAACCCCCATTGACTAACCATGGCGACCACATTCCCCTCTAGGACGCTGAACTCCGAGCAATGAAGCTCCAGCTCCAAGGGGTCATGCAGAACATTCAGTATAAACCCTCTACCACGGCAAGCTCACCATTTGTTGCCTCCATTCGGGACAAACCTCTGCCCGCCAAGTTCAAAATGCCCACCATTGACTCTTTTGACGGTACAACAGACCCAGTCGACCATCTGGAGACCTACCGTACCCTTATTATCCTCCATGCCTTCGCAGACGAGATCATGTGTCGGGCTTTCCCTGTGACACTGAAGGGGTCAGCTCGACTGTGGTTCAGCCAGTTACCAGCAGACTCTGTCTCCACTTTCCAGCATCTCAACGACTCCTTCCTTAGCCATTTCATTGGAGCCCAACGCCAACGCCGCCCTGCAACCCAACTCCTCAATATCTGTCAGACTGAGGGGGAGTCGCTGCGCAGTTTCGTTACCCACTTCAACACTGAAGCCCTGCAGGTAGCGGAAAACGATGACGAGGTCATCCTCACGGCTTTCATGGCCGGGCTACGATCGTCCGATTTCTTCTTCTCCCTCTCCAAAAACCCCCCGACCTCCATGGCCGCCCTACTCTCCAAAGCCCAGAAATACATGAATGCCGAAGATTCACTAGCCGCTCAGCAGGATCCAATATCTAAAAACCCGACCCCCAGAGAAAAGAGAAAAGACTCAGAACTTAGAAAACACCCAGTGTAACAGCCAAACAACCTACTATACCGACCAACCTCCTCGTGCTGACCAGTCGGCACCAGCCCGATCGCCCGGTCGGTTCAAGCGGTACACGCCCCTTAATTCTTCCATGGAACAAGTCCTCCACCAGATCCAACGGGACTACCCCCTCAAATGGCCCCTACCCTCACGGACCCCTTCCAACCGGAAAGACCAGTCCAAATATTGTTGTTTCCACCAAGACCATGGCCACAACACTGATGACTGCATCAACCTCAAGGATCAGGTCGAAACCCTTATCCGTCAAGGGCGTCTCAGCCGGTTTACGGACACCCGCCCACAGCAGAGGTAAAGAATCGAGCCCCTTAGAAACAACCGCCGGCGTACCCCACCCCGGCAGCCAGCCCAACCTAACCAAGGCTATGATCACCCCCCACAACAGCCTCGGCCACCAGGTAATCCCCCTCCGCCAGTTGGTGAAATCTGAGTCATTTCAGGTGGCCTTGCTTGTGGCGGACCATCCCGCTCCGTTCAGAGGGCAGAGCTCAGGAAGATAAGGCAAGGCTCGGACAGAGCAGTTGCCATGGTAGACCGACCCTTCAAAGAGCCCAAGCAGTGGACAGAGCCCATCACCTTCACGGACGCCGACTGTATAGGCATCCGTTATCCTCATGATGACCCTCTCGTCATTTCTGCCATCCTCTCCAACTATAAGGTCAGGTGGGTTCTCATTGACAACGGTAATTCTTCAGACATCATATTCCTCAACTGCTTCGGCCAGCTCAAGATTAGGGAGGAAAGCCTGTCTCCCCTTCAAACCCTTTTGGTCGGTTTCACTAACGACCGGTTGACCTCCATCGGCTCCATCGATCTCCCCCTCACCATCGGTGAATACCCACGACAGGCTACCAAGTGAGTCACTTTCCTTGTGGTCGACTGTCCCTCTGCCTACAACATCATCCTTGGCCACACCACCTTCAACGCTTTTTAAGCCATTACTTCAACCTACCACCTCGCCATAAAGTTCCCTACCGACCTTGGCGTCGGGACAGTAAGGGGAGAGCAGACTGTAGCCAGGGAATGTTATGTCACCTCACTCAAGGAAGTCAAGCTGAAGGAGGCCATGATCATTGAAGGACTTGACATCCGAGATAAGGACGAGCTAGTTAGAGGAGAACCGGTGGAGGAGCTCATTGAGATTCCCATCGATCCCACCAACCCTATGAAGACTGCCAAGATCAGCAGCCAACTATCCCTCCAAGCTAAGGTTGACCTTACCGCCCTTCTGATTGAGCACAATAATGTATTTGCCTGGACCTATTCAGACATGTCGGGCATTGACCCCTCTTTCATAACTCATCGTCTTAGCATCGAACCCCATTTCCGACCTTACCGCCAGAAGCAACGCATCTTCCATCTAGAGCGCAATACACTTATAGCCGCAGAGGTTGACAAGCTCCTTGAGGCCCAATTCATCAAAAACGTGGATTACCCTAAGTGGTTGTCAAACGTGGTCCTAGTCCGCAAGAACAATGGCAAATGGCGACTCTGTGTCGATTACTCTGACCTAAACCGCACTTGTCCCAAAGACAGCTATCCTCTTCCCCACATAGATCTGCTGGTCGACGTCACGGCCGGTCATCAAATACTCAGCTTCATGGATGCTTTCTCTGGATAAAACCAAATCCTGATGCACCCGTCCGATCGGGAACATACATCCTTCATTACCGACCGAGGTACCTACCACTACCGCGTGATGTCATTCCGACTGAAGAATGCTGGGGCCACCTACCAGCGGTTGGTCAATCCTGTTTTCCATCATCAGAGAGGTCGGAATATGGAAGTCTACGTCGATGACATGCTAGTCAAGAGCAAACTCTCTACTGATCATATGTCCAACCTGCGAGAGACTTTCGCCACCCTACGCAAGTACCAAATGAAGCTCAACCCAGAGAAGTGTACCTTCGGCGTAGGATCTGGGAAGTTTTTGGGTTTTATGGTCAGTCAGTGGGGCATTGAAGCTAACCCTGAAAAGATCAAGGCCTTGATTGAGATGCAATCACCCAGAACGGTTAAGGAGGTTCAAAGGCTCACTGGCCGAGTTGCGGCCC